GATTTATTGATAACAAATATCTATACAAACTAATAGTAGGTTTTTTAGTTTTAAAGGATTTGACAAGTTGTTCTAATATCTTAGGTGTCTCAGAAGCTGAAAATGCTGCTAGTCCAGACAAAGTTGTTCACAAATGTTGTAACTGTAAATATTGCCATTGGGTTACAGATGATAGATGATATTCATCTCTTAAGACAGAGTACATTTCATCTTCATCATCTATCAGTTGGTCCAAAGTCAATATCCCCCCTTCCATCCAATTTTTTCATATCACCATCTTTTTCCCAATTTTTAAAATTGGATTTTCCCATAAAATCAATTTAGCATGGGAAAAGAGGTCAAACCTTTTTTTATTAGACATTCTATTCCATAGCTTTCTGACTGACAGAATTGTTTCCGGAGATACAAGAGTACTAGTGTATTTAGATCCTAATACTGTCCATCCAACCAAATATGCAATATATGTATATTCCAAAGTCGCCCAAATCAGAAAATTAACACCAATTGTTGGCTTCCAGTATTTAATACTTGACAATAGGTAAGCATGATGATATAGCTCCAGATTTGGAAGACTAAATCCTCCCTCATTAATTGATAATTGCATTTTCTGCAAAGATATTCTCGGAATTGAAGAACCCCATAGAAATTTTCTAAATTAAGAATTTATTTTCTGAAAATATCTGATAATCAAAATATGTAAACTAGCTTCATTTTTTGTAGCCAGACAATATGCAGAATCTTGTAAATTATTATGACCTTAAAGGATGAGATCTTCAAATAAATTGCTGTTAGTGAGATAAGCTTTAGCACCGTTTCCTAAATATCATACTTCAACAGCTTCAGTATTCATGAGGAAAATTTTTCATCACAAATGTATTTTTTGTATAATAAAAATAAAGCATAATAGTGTTGAAAAATTAAAATGTTGACCAGCATTTACCAGCTACAGTCCTCAGGTATGTTTGACTACAATTCCCATACTCCCCAGTCAGCAACAGTGTTTCTGTCATTGCCATTGATCTATCTTAAACTCTGTTCCCTAGACCCAGTAACAATGAAGAAGTTGTTTATAGTGAAGATGATACCACAATTCTGGAAACTGCTCAAGTACAAATAGGATTCCGGTAAGTCACCACATATATTAAGACAGTGTCTACTACAGTTGTAAATATGTGGTGTCTAATGCAGGGTTTTTCCTCCCATCTTCTTAACAGATATGATACAAAGAGCTCAAGCTTTGTGATCATTATGATGCAGTTACAAAATCTTCAGGCTCTTTCAATATCCCTTGGTAGCAAAATGTAAGTAAAATGCTTTTTTGACAATGGTACTTTTGAAGTCTAGGGATTCATTATCAAGTGCATTTATAACATTCAGGTTGCAGGAAGTATAGATATCTGTCAGTCTGAACCTTCTTCCATCTCTGAGTGCTGCAAGTGTTGGCTGCTGGAAAGTGTGTCCAGCCACCCATCTTCATCGGAATTACTAGTGCTCTCATGAGCCTATTAGACATCTGCTGGATAATTGGAGAACAAGATATAATTCTTTCTCAGCAAGGACAGGAATGAAAATGATGGAAGTTTGCCACGTTAACATGTTCTTTTCTTCCTTTTTATATTCCTGGAGTTTTCTCACTGTAGTTTTTCTTGAAGTCTCCCTTTGATTTTGTGGTTCATTCTGTAAAGGATGGCTGCATGCACTTCTTAAGTGGAAAAAAACAACACATTTAAGATTACATTCTCCCTCTCCTGCAGAACTTCTTTCTTAAGGATTCACACCCTTTGTCCTCAGCCCAGAAACATACTATTTCCTTATTTCCTCAAACAAAAATAACCTTCTCTCCCATACATACAGTTCACCTTCTCTGCTGTAGTAGGAAGGTTTTTAAGCTTTGGGATTTCATATTCCATGCCTCCGCACAACATCTGTCAAAAGGCAGGCAGGAGGGTGTGCCTGAATCTAGCCAAATTAAAACAAACAAAGTGGATAGGGGAAATCAGCTTTTTCGGCTTTTATATTCATTAAGTCAGGAGTATTTAGACTTTTTGGCTTTAACAGACTCCAAGAAATAACCTTTAAATAAAATCCATTTGATAGTGAGCAGCGATACTTTTTCAGAAGGAGCTGACCTTAAACTGAACAAACTTTTCCGTCGGGTTTGAGATTTGTATGCTACCTGGAGACATTTTTAAGCATTCATTGTCTGAATGTCTGAGTTGTATTTGCATTTCAAAGAAAACGCAGTTTCATTTTCTCATTTGAAGAGCAGAGCATGAAATGCTGCTTTTACTGGGAGCACTTGTTTCAGCCTGGATGGTTTAATCTGTACAAATATTGATATATTGTGAGAGCTACTATTTACACAGCAATATAATATAGGTCTGCTCCCCAACTTCATTTCATGTTGGAAAATATTGCGTGAGCTTGAAGAGATAGGAAAGCTACACATATTCGTTGACATATGTTTGATTTCATTTTCATCTTTCCCTCTTTTGTTTTCAATGATACATGACGAGTATTCCCACGTTGCTAAATTGTAATGTGGAAAGAAGTAGCCATACTAGGATTTGACGTGGATATAGCATACCTCTGCCCTTATGACAATAATTGAGGGTAAAACCATTTGTTGTCCCTCATACAATAGACATGAGCCAAACTCCAGACAGATGGCTGTCTAATCTCTACCCAAGCGCATCCAATGAAGAGAAGCTCACCATTTCCCTGGGTAATCGTTACCAGAGAGGAATTTCTCTTACTTGTTAGAAAGTTTTTCTAACATTCAGTCAGAATGTGTCTTTCTATAACTTCAATTCATTATTCTGCATCCTGCACAGAGGGAAAATCCCTTTTAGCTGTCTTTTCTCAAGCTCCTTCCAACTCTCTTGATAGAACTTAGTTTCTAGTCCCCAGATCATCTTCATTATCTTCTCTGAACTGGTTTTAATTGTTTTGAGTTTTTATTAAAATGTGATGCCTAGAATTCAGCACAGAAGATGGAGACTGGCCAATACAGAACAAAGTGAAATTATTACTTCTCATGATTTGGAAATTACACTTCTGTTGAAGCAGACTAAAATTGCATTTGTCTTTTTTGCAGCCATATCACACTGCTGGATCATCTTCAGCTTGCAGTCAACTTTTTCAGAAGTCCTGTTACCTAGCCTATATCTCCACATTTATTTTTTCTTCTCTAAGGAACATACCCAGTTAAAACATGAGATAAGGTTCCTTCACTTCCTTCAATATAATGGGATGCAAGGTCTTGTGCTTCCTGCAGAGATTTTCTACTTCCATGGAATACTGTTATAACAATTCTTTGCAGTATGGTTTATCCTAAGAAGTACTGGCAGGAAGGGATCATTGTCAGTGGACTTGATAAGTCTTGGAAATTGTTCTGCCATGTTCCTGACCCTTGCTTCTGGCAGACAGCAGACTTCACAAGCTGATGGGTTGATTTGTCATACATTTATTTCAGTTCCCTGTAGTGGTGAGTCATTAACTACTGTGACTCTTCTGTGACACCCCCCAGAGAACTTTCCTGCTGTCCTCAAGAAAGGAGGAGAGTATGTTTTGAAAATCACTCCACAATGCATCTCTTATTCTGACTCAGGAACAAGGATGGTAGAGTTGCTACCCTCACACAAGCATTGCTGCTATCGCTGTCAAGGATGGCAGTGATACTTTCACCTGTCAGCGACAAGAGCGTTGTGGGAATGAGGCAGGAACTTTTCCTTCCTTTCTCAAAGGCCAGACTCTCCAGCTCATAAAATTTAGCCCACTCACATAAAAAGGGCATTTGTGAATGTGAAGAAAACAGGAAATAATGGAAAGTTAAACCTAGTGCATCAAGGGGCGAAGGGAGCAGCTTATATTTCTTACAAGTTACAACTCCCTGCTTGATAACTCCCATTGTCTCCTCATCCGTTTCACTGTGTTTGGTCCCAGGATTAACCTAGAGTCAACATTCCTGTTTTCAGCTGGAGGAGGAAGAGTTGGAAGCTCTGGTTTCTCCAATGTGACTGGAAGGTCTTTTAGAAGGTTGATATTCCTTTGACACTCCAAAAAGGACATTACTGCCAGATGAAATTTTGTTCTCTTTGGCAATCAAAGCAGAATTGGCCTTTGAGGCAGACAGCTCTACAGCCAGACAGAAGAGAGTAATCTTGCAGCTGGCCAATTTAGCAGATTGCTAACCTTCTGAAAACAACAACTCCAAGTGACATAAAATGTTTGCATAGGAGTTTTTCTTCTGTTTTCCAATGGAAACCACCAGTTTCCTGCTGGATGACCTAGATCCAGCTTCAGCCTGCCTCAGCATTTCCTTCTGTTATGAGGATATGTCTTCAACAAATGACAAGTGGACCATCTCAGAGCTGGGGCAAGCAGCCTGTGTGGATAAGCACTTTGTCATCTTACATGCCAGAGTTACATCCTTTCTTTCTTTTAGGGATACGTCATCATATCTACTGTTCTTTTTTTATTTCCCTGAATGTTCAGTCTGTTTCATCTGTAACTGTTTCTGAATTCAAGTGGTGTAAAAAGCATGCTTCATCTCTTGCTTCTGATTGTTCTCATCCACTGGGCTTGTTCCTTTGTTTGACTGCCTTGCTTTTGGAGGGATGTGTCCACTGTAGTGCCTCCTTTCTTTAAACTCATCTTCTCATCAACAGATGGATCTGTGGTTCCAGTCCTTTACCCCCTCTCCTGTCTTTATGACCCTGCATTTACTGCAGTTATATGCCAGGTCATTTTTCAAGCAGGAAGACAAACACATTGCAAGCATTTCTGCTCACAATTTCAGCCTCTTGTCTTTCACCTACACTTTTGCTTCTTAGGATAACACAGGTGGAAGGTGTTTATTCTTCTTTCCTTCTCAAACTTTCAGATTAGCTAACCATGCACTGTTGATTTAGTGGTAAAATTTGTTAGGGACTGAACTCCTAACAAACTCCCCCCAGCTTGCTAAATCTCCCTGTTTGCTCACTCGGTGAGCTCATCCCCTGGAACCAGGCTGCTTTATATTCCTCTTACAAATTCTGCTTATTCTGCAGGAAAGCACTTGTACCTGTCAGGACACACACCTTGCAATCAGCATTTGTGAATGTGAAATAAATAAGAAATAATGGAAACTCAAACTTAGTGCAGCAGTGGAGGAAGGGAGAAGCTTATATTTCTTTGAAGTTACAATTCCCTGCTTGATGTCTCCCATTGCCTCCTCATCCTTAATTAGGAAAAATATTTTTATGTCATTTCTAAATGTGTATATTGCATAACAAATATGGAAAGACACTTTGTGTTGTGAAGTTAGGTTATCTTTCTATTCTTTTTTTTTTTTACCTTTAGATATTTTAGACTTGCGCTTCTCCCACCTTCAACTGACATCAGCTGTCTGTTCCGAACAAAGGTCCATCCTGCTACTGAACCTGTTTTATTTAGTGAGATGTTCAGAGCAGTTATTTCCCAGGCAGCCTTGCAGCAGAAAACTTTGAGAGTAGATATCTGCTCTGTCAGTAAAAGTCACCAGGAAGAATGTCTAGTAAGTATTCTTTATTATGAAGATTGACTTTATCGTGATCTTTTTCCCCCCCTTTTTTTTTGTGGATGGATAAGAGTCTTTTGAGCAATGTATTATCAATCTTTATAGGACTGGGCATAGTCACCTTTGACATAGAGTGATTCTTCTTGCCCCTTTCATGGGAAAAAGAGTAGCAGATTGGAACTGTACTTCCTAAATATTTAAATAGCAAAGTCTTAGTGTAAATATTGCAGCAGGGTGGTATAAATGTTTTTTCTGCTTGCAGCTCTTATTTTATTTCCTGTGCTATGTTTTGCACTGTTTTAGGCCTGCATTGTGGGCTGGTCTAGAAGTGCAGCTAATCTAATATATAGCAACTCAACTGCTGATTGGGATAACTTACTGTACATACATCACACTCATACTAAAACATCTGCATTGCCTGTTGTTCTGCAACTGAGCAGATACAAGACTATATTAGTATTAGTCCTGAAAAGGGAGCAGGTTATTTAAGCATCCTCATATATGTCAGCCTTCCTGGTATTTAATGATCTTAAGAGGAGGTCCTCCATTCTGTGCCGCAGACAGCATAAGTAAGCCTTCTCAGCAGTCTTCTGCAGAACACCGTTCCAATGCTGCCATGTTTTAGATACTCCGTAAAAATTCCATTCTTTCTTTTTGGGGGGCTTCCCACCAACCACTTGCTTCTATTAGTATTTTTAGTCCTTTTAATAACTAGTTTCCTAGCACTGTTTTATAGCATTAACTCTTTCTGGGATTTATGCAAATGAGAAATGGTATACAAATATTTAAATAAATAGTAAATTGAATTTACTTTCCTTGCCCCATTAATTTGAGAGGCTGAAATGCTTGAATAGTTTTTCACACTCAAGCTAATGAAGGAAGCACTTCTTATGCCACTGCAGAGGAAAACTGCAATGCTTTGGTTGTCATAGGTCTCATTTAAATGAAGAAGAGAGAAGATAAATACTTTCTATGTGGGTTTCATGATGATGCAATTTCCTGGGTTAATATTTATTATGGTGAATCTTTTTGAAGAGCAGTCAAGAAATACAATCTGGCCAATTGAAAATCTGTAACTTCCATCCATCCATAACTGTGCTTAATTTATTTGAAAGTGCCTTACAGTGACTTTGGTCCATGGAACTTATGGTTACTACTTCTGAGAAGAGTACTTTCACCCAAGTGTCAGCCAGGAAATTTAACAATCCCATGCTGGGGATTTCCCATGCAAGGCATTGAACCTAGGACCTCATGCATGCAAAGCATGCGTTTGACTTCTGTATAAGTTCAGTGGCAAAGGTGCATCCAGCAAAATTGCCCATTGCCTGTATCATGCCATGTTATCATGGTTAGAAGCAGATTGTTTTATTTTTCTTAATATTATTCAAGTTATTATTACTCCTGCCCAGTTGATGATTGTAAAATGGTAGTGTAATGATTAATAATTTCAGACATCGACAGAGTGTAAAGTGACGGTGCCTGAGGCATTTTTATACAATAAAGCTATCAAAGACTCTAGATATGAGCTTAAATTTTCCTTTCTTGCATATGAAGTCACTTTTTTCCTCATGAAGAAGTTGGACTGAGGCCAACTGTATTTTGCCTCAGGCATTAACCTAGCCAGTGCTTTCTCCTGCATGGATCTATTACACTGATTAAATTTATAGAATATGACTGACTTTTTTCTTTTGGATATATATTATATGTCTGGTCTTTAATTAATCAAATTATCTGTTTATTGTTTTTAATATACCCCTTAAACTTCCTGTTTAATTCATATTGAGCAACACAGAAGAACAATAACAAAAAAACTTTTTAGCAAATAAAATCACAGGAAAAATATATCACAATCTCCTCTGTTTTCTGCCTGCAACTCCCAACTACTCTCTTGGCACTTTAATGCTTTACATTCTTTTATCTTACAAGCCAAGGACTCTTGTGCCTTTAATCCCTCAAGATTTATCACAAACCAGAATTACTTTAACACTTATGCCAACTGCTCTAACTAAATCCCATTCATCTTCCCTCTTTCTTTATCTTTGTGCTTCCCCCTTCACTTTTCATTTTAAAACCTGTTTCTGCAGTTTCCCTCCTGAAAGATAGATGAATGCTATTCATCAGGCTTTTATAGAATGTCCACCTCACACATTACAATATAAACATAATAGAAAAGATCACTGTGCATCATGTGAAAAGTCTTCCTTACTTAATAACTATTAAACTTAGCAGCAGTGTTATTTGACTTCAGTTCCAATATTCATTCTAAATGCTGTGTTTTAATCCAAAAGATATAAACATATAATTGAAATTTTTAATAATTCTTAGATAAAAAGGCTTTTGAGAAATCAAAACAAAATAAAGTTTGCTAAAACTGTACAGAAACATTTTAGTGATTTCATTTGTTTTTACATAAATTAAAATTCTACAACAAATACACATTGCCTTATAGGGTGGAATTCAGATAAGTCTGGGAGATATGTCCTTTTCACATGAGATGTCTACTCTGTGGTATAATTTGCTGGCTTCAAAGCAGACTGATGAAAAAAGGAATACGAAGCCAAAGAAGTATTCTGTCTTTGTAGCAACCAATCCATCACCTGGTTCCTTGGTAAGTTGATTGCTAGAAAAAATAGTGGCACCAGTCAAATAGTTGTGCCACATGATTATGTATAGCCTCCAGTTGCTGTACAAGTCTCACTGTCATAGTGAATAGAAGGATAATTAGGCTTCTAAAATAAATTATTGCCTCCACTTGACTCTTCCTGCTAGCAGGAATAGCTAAACAAACAATGATTATTATAAATGAATTACTGACTAGTTTGTGAGGAGAGTACAGCAATAAGCCAGAATTCCTTGTTAGAATGCATTGCTAAAAAAAATAAGCAAATGCAAAAAAGCTTTATATACAACTTCTTCACTGTAAGGAACAGCATGTTCATCCTAATGTTCAAACATTATTGGATAGAGTAGGAGGGAATCACATGTAAAGTGCATATTACCACTTTTTTTTTTTAGATTCTAGAAATATTTTTCTAATTACTTTTGTCCATGTTGTTTTTGGAAGGGATTTTATTTATTATATTTAAATGTTAAGTTTTGTTTTAGGGTATGATTTTCACAGTATATGTAATGAATTCTAAGATGATATCATACAGCAACTCAAGTTTTAAATCAGCCTTGAGTGTTTCATGATGTAATCCTAGTCTCTGAAGATGCTTGTGTGGTTGCTAAATCTAATCTGAAAGAAGGCTCTGATATAGCAGTTTTGTGGTTTTGCTAGGCTCAGTCCATGTTGATAGACCAGATGTATTACTGGCATTATTTTAACAATTCAGTATATTTTAGTACAAGTAGAACTGCTTTCCATGTCTTTGTTAGGATGCTGTTTCAGCATTGTTGGAAAGGACATCAGCTGAGCTGCAAGCTGTAGAACAAGAATTGGCAGAGAAGGAGGAGGAAGGGGAGGAAGAAGAGGAAGAGGAGGAAGCACAGGATACACGGGAAACACAAAGTTCTGAGGAAGAATGGTAAGCTGAACTTTTTTTATTTATTGGTTGTTCGCAAGATAGCATTTAAAAATACAAAGCATACAACAAAGCAAAATACAGAATATGTTGCTTCCCATCTGCAGTAGGTAGGTAAGAAAGATAGAAAGAAAACCTATTATTCCTTAGACAACGTGAGGAAGAATGCTTTTTCTGCTGTTTTGTTCAGCAACAAACAAGAACACAACACAAATATTATTTTATAGGGAGGCCAACAAGGAAAATAATGAATTATTTATTAGTTGACTATGGCCTTGCAAATGCTCTTTCAAACATTAGTTTCTATGCAGCTTAGAGAATGGACCCATGCTGTTGCTCCAGTCCAATGCTGTGGTTCTCTCTGTTCATCTCACAGGATGCAACCTAGTGAATGTGCATAGGCATTTACTTTAAGTAGGAGTCCAACAAGTAAGGAAAACACGTGTTTATCAGGCAAACCCTAACTCTAACCCTTCATACCCTATAAGATTAAACAGATATCTCTTCATCCCATATCCCATCCCTTATCTATAAGCAAATCCATAAAACATCAACTTTTCAAACCTGGTGTCAGCAAAAAGTCCATAAAGGGTTGCCAGAACATTGCAAAAGAAAAAAGAAAAGAAAAGAAAAAGTCTCATTTTAACCTTGATCAAATAAACCAACTTTATATTCCTTCCTTTTTACTTCTAACAGTCTTAATCTTTAATTTAATCAAATATTGTCATAGGATTTGGTTTCTTTTCCATTCTTCTTTATCCCATCTCACAGATTTCTTCAAGGCCTTAACAAGCCTCTTTCATAGATCCAATAAGAGGACATTTTCCAGGTCATTCTCTTGGTTTATTATTTGTGTTTCCCTTTTAATTTTTAAAACTTCAGCCAGTTTCTTTTGTATATCCAGTAAAGTGTCCTTTTTCAAATCATTCTCTTGGCCTGGCATTTGTAGTTACACATTCTGTACTTCCTCTGTCTTGTCAGATAAAATTTGTTCCACATCTGTTATTTTTTCATTAACATCTTTTAGACATAGTCTATCCATAGAAGCAGGCATTATTACTGACAGTGTTGATATTGTAGTTACTAATTTATGGCTCCATTCTTCAAAGATCTCCTTTAATATTTCCAATGTTATCATGTTTTGTGTCATTTTGTAATTCCCACTATTAACTGACATGAAGAACAGTCTTATATATTTTTTTCCGCTTAAATATTTAGTCTCCTCTAGTGTCCAGTTTCTAAAATCATCACTTATCTTTTGTTATGACTTGCAATAGCTAGGATAGCCAAAATAAGTCTAATCCCCATAAGAAGTTATTTATTTTTTATAGTTAATTCCAAAATCTTATAGAAAGAGTCAATATTCCAAATTTATCTGGACCCTTGGTCCTTTTATAACTTTTTTAGATCAAAATCTTATTTAGCTTTTTGCTGTTTATTTCAAATTCTTTAAGTTCTTAAGCTTATAATTAATTTTCCTTTTGTTCAGAGTTGAAAATAAACTCACCTGATGAAGACTTTTCAAACTTGTCATTCCGAAGGTCCCTAATAGCTTTAAGATGGTTAATAGGCAATTTCCAAAAGTGATTAGAAAGCAAGGTTTGTGAACTTAGTGTCCTTTAAAAGGCTCTGCCACAGTTGGGAGCAAGATGGCACTCAAACACATGGAAAACTGCTGTCCTACGGTATCTCGCAAGGAGCAGCCATCCAGAGCACATGTGGGCAATCTTCTGTCCTCTCATTACCCAGAGAGGTTTATTTATTTATTTGTTTGTTTGTTTATATTTCAAATTTGTCACCGCCCATCTCACTAAAGAGTGACTCTGTCTACTCACTGGTTCCTTGGTCTTTGCTGTGGTCATCGGCTCTGCCTTTGCAGAGCCATCTTAAGTTCACCAGAACTTCCCCCAGAAGTCAAAAACAAAAGAGCCCATTTTGATTAGAACAAAGGCAGTAGGCCCACATCCCGCATCTTCTCTTCTAAGAAATGCTTATTAATGGTGTATTATCTCTGAAAATGTGAATCACTTCTTTCTAAGCAGCTTTGATCAAATATGTGTCAATTCCCTTGGATTAAGAAGTTCATATAAAAACATCCTAGCTTTTATCAAATTTACCATATGGAGAATTAACTGTATTAAAAAGTTATTACAGTTGCATGCAAAACTTTAGGCTCCTCTGGTCAAAATGTATGTTTCAATGAATCCTTAAGTGAACAAAAGTTGACAATACCTCCACATGACATCATTCTTCAAATTTCAAGCATATTTACCATTTGTATGCAGTTACATATTCAAAATAAGAAAAAAGGACATATGGCAGGTGCAGAAGTTTAATTCCAGTTGATTCAATCTTTCTGTCCTTCCTTTTACTGTAAAGTTGTTAATAAGGCACAGAAAGGTGGTTGACTTGTTGAGCTACGATTAGCCAGGTGAGACATTTACGCAGATGAATGGATACTCTGACTTTCTAACCTTTTAGGATATTATTGTTGTTTTATCTATTTTCAATATCCATGGGCTCCTCTAAGTGGCTGTGTGGAGGGGGAAACTTATAGTTTTATATCTATCCACAGAAATAATCTTGAATATCATATTTACTTTGATTTTTATGATATTCTAGCAGAGTAAATTTATAACAGATCCTTCTGCTTTTCTTGGAGCAGAGAATACTGAAACCATAAAAGTGTTTTAGTAGAATTTTACCACTGGCCAAAATAAGTTGTTGATAATGTCACATCATTTGTATGGATGTTAGGTTCCAAATATGCTCATATTTTTCTTTCTGAATACTTTAGCAATTCAGGGGTAAATTTGTTCTCACAGGCTAGGAATACTGGCAAAAGTATCCAGAGAAATTGTGAATGAAGAAGAGAACAGTATTAAAGGGACAGAAGAAGACAGATGCAGGGATAGCAAGAGACTGAGCTCTAATTTGGAACAGGCAGATGGAATTGAACATGAGAAAGACACCAAATTTACAGAAGTGGATCTCAGCAAACAAACAATAGTATCCCCAATACTGGTGAGTATTTTAAATTACATTTCCTACATGGCCCAGGATATCTTTTATAGTTGAGCATAATGTTTGTCATGGCAAACTTCTTTAAAAGTTTTCAGTTAAATGAACAAACTTAGTGTAGTATGTGATATATTGTATGTAGTGATTTTGAATTGGTACTTTACAGACTTGAAAATGTTTTTGTTTGGATAGTACAGAAAAGAGAAGCAGCAGGAAAAAAAGGTCCTTACAGCAGCCACAGAAAAATATTCAGCTTGCTAGTTAACATTTAATGCTTATTTGTTCGATAATTCATGTTTAATAATGGATGTTTTAAATATTTAATAGGTTATTTAATGTTTAAATTATACTAACATACACACTTAATATTTTTATTTTTGCAATTGTTTTGAAGTTTTAATAATAAGGGCTGAGCTCTTAAAAACAATGCTGGAAGGGGGGGTGTATGATAGATGGATGGGTGAATCAGTTTGTTTCCAGTCCGTGTAAATTTTACATATGTTCATTTATAAGTCTGTTATGCTCTGTTTCTTTTTAATCTGCAATTTTTAAAAATAATCCATATAAAAATCTGTATTTAAGTATTTACATTTGTCTATATTTTTCTCAAAAAATACATATATGATTTGGGATTTTTTTAAAGCCTGGAATTTAGATCTGCAAATCCAGCATTTAGAAAATTATGAAAACTGAAGGATTAGTACCTTTCAGTACACACATTTCACCAGAAAGTGTGAATCAGTATGTTTCTCTTCAAATGTACACTACGCACAATGCTCAGGCATTCAGTATGTTATAGGCCTAAGCACTGACACTTAATCCAAGAAATGGATTAAATAATTTAAAATATTGCTATCAATGTAAAAAGTGTGCCCCCCCCCCGTTAAATCAAACAATATATATGAAGGGTTTTTTTTAAGTTTAATACAGTATCTATAGCTGCCACACACCATTATAGGAAGAGGTCTTCCCTTCTCTCATATGAAGGAACAATTTCTAAGATGGTTCCAGGCTAGAAATGCTAGAAGCTACAGTTACAACACATTAAGATCCAGTGAAGTGTAGTTGTTGAGACATTGGATTTGGAACAGGGAAACTGGGAAATTGGGTCTCCACAATACCTACTTGGTGACTTTTGGCCAGTCACTTTTTTTCATACAAATGAACACACAAACTTGCGGAGACAAAAGTAGGGGAAATCCCTATGTGTATCATGTTAGGCTCCCCAAGAAAAGATGGGATGTAAATAGAATATATAAAAATACATAAATAACTCAAAGATTACAGATATTGCTATATGCATTTGCAGATCTAATTAAATAAAATATTTATTATTAATCAATTAAGAATTCTTGAATTGGGTAACAATTATAGTATTCCCTGAACAGTCTTTCCTGCTATGATGAAATTGATTAAGGATGCCAGGATTCATATGTAAAGCTCCTGTTTTGTACTTTTCAATATCCATAGTAATAAATATATCTATAATTGCAAATATTCCAAGAGTGGAAGGCTCAAAGAACCAGTCATTCAAAATATGAGATTAGCACATTAATGGAAAACTGATGTAAATACTAAGTTTGCTACATTTTCCATGCAGCATTTTTATATTGTTAACATTGCAAGGGCTTTATATAGATTATATACACATGGACATAGCAAACAACTCAGAAAGTACTGCTTAGGAATAAGCAATGAACTGGATTCTTTAAAGCTAGAATCCTAATCAATGCTATGTTGTATACTTAACAGGGGTATTCTAGCAAGAAGGCTGAAGTGTATATCATTTTACTTCCTTTGAAAATAAATGATTATTGATAGTTTCTTCTTGAAATAATTTGATTAAGCACATGCTTACTCTGATCTTGAATTACATGAACATTAACAGAAGAAATTGGATTATGCTTCTACAGTATAATGGAAAACATTTGAAAGGTTTAGAAGTCTAATTCAACAGTTCAGATTCATTTTGTCATCCTGTTTTTTTGGGAAAGCGTGTAGTCAAAGGTAGAGTTCTAGTATTCATACAAAAGGTCCTACATTCAATCCATGTGCAGCTAGTGAAGATTTCTGCATGAAACCCTAGATAGCCATTGCCAGTTACTCTAGATGAAAACCCCAAAGCCCCAGCCAGCGTGTCAATGGCAAGGGATGTCGAAAGTTGTACTTCAACAGCAGGAAGTCTACAGATGCTATACTATGATGCTGAGCAAGAGAGTCCAGTTTTTTCTATGTTTTTATGTTTATTTGTTAACAGCTATTTTTTTCCCAATAGTAATTTCATCACTTCTGAATAAGGCAATGGCATTCCTAAAAGCACGGTAGTAATCATTGCTTAAAAGAAATCCTAGTTCTGGTTTTAAATGGACAAGGGATTTGTTTGTTTAGAATGAACTCATTTTAAGAATCCTGAAAAGCTTTTCCCAGTAGCAAATCCACAAACATCTAGATTGAGGTTAGTGTAGGTCAGAAACCTTCAATAAGAAATATTATATGAATATATTGTTATAAAAAAGGTGCAATATGTGGTGCTTTATCTAGTAAAATATACAATGTGTCCCAAATGAAAGAAAGAATTTCATTCTATTCTTCTGGAGCACAAAATGCCTGTCTACTTTTTATTTTTTTAAAAATTAATGTATTTTGAGCCTTGGTCTTTGGTCTGAATTTAGCTTATCTGTGTTAAAATGCAATAAATCAACAAACTTGATATAAGGGTTTTGGTTTTCATTAGAAGTAATGTATAGTATATCCACAGGTTGATAGGGAAACAAATACAGAGGATAGGGCTGAGTGTGTAGCTATACGACCCAAGGACAAAGCCAGCCTGAAGACTCAACAGCATCCCTTTGTCAGGAACAGCATGCTAGTACGTTCACAGACATTCTCTCCAGGCGAGCGGAACCAGTACATCTGTAGGGTAAGATGAAGAGTGCTCTCAATGAACTCTTACTAACTAAAGACTCATTTAATTTCTTTGGCAGTGGCTCGTTGCTGGCAGTGGGCCACCTCTGGAGAACTTGGTGTCCATCTGTCAGCTGTGAGACTATGGAAAATTATTGTTTTCACCTGTAAAATAATCTGGAACTTCTCAACTATTTGGATGTTAGCATTTATCTCTTTGTATTAAGCTAGAATGAAGTTGTTGCAATTGACATTCCTTCACTGTCCCCCCCGCCCCACTCACATACAAACACATGGTTTGAACAGGATGCTAAGGCATGAATTGTTTAACCATGATTTACTGAAGACAATTACAATTGGCTCAGTTTGCACCATATGCTACTTTTAGTAGAATGTATGAACCCAGTCATTCTTTCTGAATAGTCCTGTGTAGAATTGGCTTGCAGATGCCTAAAATTAAGTATTATTATTTTTTACTATTGATACCCATTTCAGTACAAATATTTATATTTGTTTTGCTGTTTTATGACAATTCTAGCAGCATGTAATTTTTGAATTATGACTTGCAACATGAAAATAGCACTTATTCTAAGAATACTTTCTCAAAAGTATCCTTCTGGAAGAAAGTTCAACAAATCAGATTCTATCTGCTTTTTACTTTTGATGCAAATGAAGCATAAACTTCAAATAAAGCTATTGTGTGCATGTGAAATCTGAAACAATATCATCACACAAGAGGGATAAAATATCAGAGACTATATACATATGAATCATCAAGTAATCTGCCTTTCAGTATTTTCAACATTTATTTGTCCTCCAATACAAGAGGGTTTTTCACTGTGGTCTCTGTGAATCATACCTATGGATATCTGGGTTTGCACAGTGCTCTTCTGAGAATTTTCTAAAGCTGAGAGAGACTTCTAGTAGGAAACTACCCTATGCTGAAAGTGTGTGTGCGTGCATGTGCTTGCTTATATATAAAAATATAATATATAAAAATATAATA